TTTTAGAAAAGTATCTGATGGGCAGAGAGACAGGGACAGAGATGCCACCCAATGGTTCACACCCCAAATGCCTGGAACAGTTGAGGCTGAAGTTAGGATCTCAATCTTGCTCTCCTTCCTGCGTGGCGGGAACCCAATCACTTGAGCCATGTATTGTGGGGAGCAATCCGGACTGGACTGAGTTACTGGAATTAAGACTTATTCTATGCATCTGCTCTCCCACAATATGGCACTGGGAGAGAAGTAAACAGCTTCCGCACAGCTGCCTCCAGTTCAACCAATAAACTGTGGGACTTGCTCCTGATTGGAGAGCAGCGTACTCGGCGTGTGGGCAGCCGAGTTGGGATTGGCGGAGGAGGACTATAAAGGAGGAGAGAGACGGCATGCACCAGGAACATCTATGGGGAACATCTATGGGGAACATCTGAGGGAACATCTGTGCAGCCCCCAAGAAAGCCGGCCTGCGGTGTGCCGCTCCCCTGCGGAAGTGGGGAATGTGGCCAGGGGGAACTGCCCTTCCACGGAGGTGGAAGGGATAGTAGCCAACCCGGGAAGAACCAGCAGCAAACCCGGGGAGGGCCGAGCAGACGAAAGAACAGCGCAGGGTCCTGTGTCGTTCCTCCACGAAGAGGGGGAGCGACATAATGGTGCCGTGACTCGGATAGGAAACCTAGGACGGATAGCAAACTTAGGAGGGAAGAAACGGGAAGAACTGGGAAAATACCGGAGAGAGAGACTAGCAAACAGCCTAGGGAAAAGCCGGACGAAAAGGGTGCCGGAAGAAGCTATTGAAAGCCTAGGCATAGATTCGGATACGGACTACGGGGGGAAGCTGGGAGAAATCTCTAAGGTCGAAAGCGAAAGTGAAAGCTAGAACAAACAGACTCGGACGCGGACTGTGGGGAGAGGCCAGGAGAAATGAGGGAGGAGTATTGTTGGAGGAAAGCTTGGGGAAACATACTGGGTAGAAAAAAATGTTAGGGAAATTGAAGCCGCGGGGGGCAGGCCGAGGCGGAAACGGAAGCCACTTTGGGGTTCTCAAGTTAGCCCGGGAATAGGGGGCGAAAAGTTGAAACCAGAAGCTGAAACGTAAGCCAGATTGGGATCCGTCTGATTAGCCCGGGGAGCAAAGGACGGGAAGCCAAACCGTGGGGCGGAGACGTAAGCTGGGTTGAATTCGCCAGGCTAGCCCGGGGAACTTAGATTGAATGCTAGTGGCGGACACGTAAGCTACGCTGTGTGACTCGCGGAAGCCGCCGCGTGCAGAGAGAGCACGGGGCGTGAATAGATAGGGAACGGGGCTGGCGCGAAGCCGTGGTTCAGACGCGAAAGGGCTAAGTGCGAGACTGCGGAGTGTGCGGCTGAAGCGGCTCAGCCGGAAAGCCGCGGAGAAATAGCCTCGGGGGCGAGGTGCCGGGAAGCTGCGGGGATAAGAGAAACAGAAGTTTAGAAGTAAAGTGAGAGAAATAGGAATGCTGGAAGATAGAAGTAAAATGGGAGAAATAGGAATGCCCGGAGATAGAGAAATAGAGAAATAGAAAGGCCTCCCTACAACACTGCAATGTGAGAGCTTGGATTCGGTCTGCCTGATTAAGTGAGGCGATGAGCACGATGAGCATCTGCGGCGGCTAGCAGCTTATGCGCCGCAGGTCACCGAAGACAGGCACGAATTAACATCAGTAAGGCCTCCCCACAAAAAGGCAATGAGAAGGCTTGGATTCGGTTTGCCTGATAGGGCTTGTAAGCCCCTGCAGGCAGAGCAGAGCATGCGCTGCAGGGCACCGAACACAGGCACGCATCAGCGCCTAAAAACCTCCTCACAACATGGCGAAGAGAGGACCCGGATTCGGTTTGCCTGATTGATAGGACTTGTAAGAGCCTGTGGCAACTCTAGCAAGTAGAGCAGAGTGTGTGCCGCGGGACACCGAAGACAGGCGCGTATCAACGCCAAAAAATAAAAAGAAAGGGGGATCTGTGGGGAGCAATCCGGACTGGACTGAGTTACTGGAATTAAGACTTATTCTATGCATCTGCTCTCCCACAATATGGCGCTGGGAGAGAAGTAAACAGCTTCCGCACAGCTGCCTCCAGTTCAACCAATAAACTGTGGGACTTGCTCCTGATTGGAGAGCAGCGTACTCGGCGTGTGGGCAGCCGAGTTGGGATTGGCGGAGGAGGACTATAAAGGAGGAGAGAGACGGCATGCACCAGGAACATCTATGGGGAACATCTATGGGGAACATCTGAGGGAACATCTGTGCAGCCCCCAAGAAAGCCGGCCTGCGGTGTGCCGCTCCCCTGCGGAAGTGGGGAATGTGGCCAGGGGGAACTGCCCTTCCACGGAGGTGGAAGGGATAGTAGCCAACCCGGGAAGAACCAGCAGCAAACCCGGGGAGGGCCGAGCAGACGAAAGAACAGCACAGGGTCCTGTGTCGTTCCTCCACGAAGAGGGGGAGCGACAATGTATGTTGCCTCAGCAGGTCTAGATTGGTGGGAACCTGGAGTAAGAATCAGGAATCAGGAGCTGAATCCAGGAATCAAACCCAGGCACTCTGATGCAGGACGTGGGCCTCTTAATCACTAGTCTAAAGGCCTGCTCCATATAGTGGGTTTTATTGACTGCAGTTAGAGAGAAAAGGACAAAAGAAAATGAAAACCGCACCAAATGGCACAAGCAAGAACCATGCATTTCAAAAAGGAAATACAACCACTGACATCTTAGTAACATGCTTCTATTAGGGAGTCAGAGTTGTGGCATAGGTGGTTTAGGGACCTCTTGAGACACCTGCATTCCTCCCCAGAGCACTGTTTCCAATCAGCTCTCTGCTAGGGCACCTGGGAATGCAGCAGAAGTGGACCCAACCACTTGGGCCTCTATCATCCACACTGGACATCAGGTGGAAGTTCCTGGCTATAGGATTTGGCTTTGACTGGATCCAGCTTCTGTGGGCATTTGGGGAGTCCATCAGCATATGGAAGATCTCTCTCTCTCTCTCTCCAGTACTTTCTCTCGGCCACTCTGCCTTTCAAATAAATCTAAACAAGATTTTTTTTTTTTTGCCCAATGCCTCATTTTAAAAATGACTGGTTATTTTTCAGTTATTCACTTAACATTTATTGTTTTGCTCCAATTCTCCACTTTTAAACATTCATATTTTACTTGTTTCAAAGAGAGAATCAGCTCTTTAAATACAAAACAAAAATCTATCACATGGAAAAAACTGAGTATATAGTGTGTATGTCAAGTTAGTACAGATTTGTTTGATAAAGCTCCAGATAAATCATCATGTTGCTTCCCCTGCCCTCCTACTGATTTTTCTATTTCAAGGAAACACTGAATGCCTCATTTTAGAGCACTGCATGCCTCAGGTTGCTCCCTTTCCTCTTAACAAAAATCAACCAGTTATTCTCAACCTGCTGTGAAATTTAAGTCTTTTGAAAGCTTTGGGTTGCACAGTGTCTGTAAAGATTCATCACTTCTGGCCTCCAATAACCCAAAGCAACCTAGGAAGACTTAGTAACTTTTAGGGTGTTATAGAAATAACAGAAAACAATGATAAATTCAAGATGACAGGCGGTAATCTTGAGAGCTTTTAAGAAAGAAAGGACAAATCTCATCACTGGACTGTAAGAAAGATTGCCAGCAGTCCTTTTTTATACAACTTTGAATAGTGTTCTTAATCAGAACCTTTGACCTTGCAGGCAGAATAGCATGATCCCATTTCATAACTGTTACTAGGAATGGTACCTAAGCAGTATCTCCCAATCCATGAAGGAAAATTACCTAGAAGAAAAGAGGGGGAATTAATGAACAAAGCCTAAATAAACCTACATAGGCGAATACATACATTAGGAAAATGTGAATGCAAGTTCTTAAAACCCAAGAAACAATTACAGAACCCTTCTCGGGATGATTCAGTTAATATTTGCAGTATTTTTTTCTTTTTCTTGTTTTTTAAGATTTTAATGTATGACGGTCTTTATTTACAACTTTATTGGCAAACAAGAAGAGGGAGTACTTTGAAGCAGTTTAATACATGGCATGATAGCTGATCCTGTCAGATTAAAGAAGTCCCATTTTAAATCTGCATCAAAGCCTTACAAATATTGAAATTTTTTCCATCAGAAATAGGAGCTTCTGGGGGTAAAAAAAAAAATCAGTTTGAAATTTTCATACACAACTTTCCTAAGAGAACAAAAAAGAAAGAACTAGCACCTCTGATGCGATGAAGACCCAAATGGTCTAACTTCTTTCATTTAGGACAAAAGTGGAAGACGAAACATTAAAGCGATTTCCTCAGGGGATTAAGCTTTTCTCATCCACAAACCTGACAGAACCAGGAAGTTTAGGCACAGACCCAGGGCCACTTCAGAGAAGCACAGGGATTGCAGGAACGCACCCCGCCCCCCCAGGGACCCGCATGGCGCAGGCCCGGGTACACTGTCCACTCGCACCCCACCCCGGCATAGGACCCCCACCGAGAAAGGTGCGGTTGCTGGTGGCGGGCCCAGTGGACCTCTCGGAGCCCGAGCCGCCGCCACTCACCGTTGCGGTGGGCGGCGGGCACGAGGGCGGGCAGCCGAGCAGAAATTATTACCGCACAGACACCGACTCGGCTGACAGCGCATCAGAAGCTGAAGGGAGAAGAGCGCCAGACCCGAGCCCAAAGGCCAGCAAGACGCCACCTTCCTTCCGGGGGCCACGCCTCCCACTCTGCGTGCAGCTAACCTCCCGGCGTGACGCCCCGCCCCCGTTTCCGGACGTCACAATACTGGAGTTTCTCCCTCCTCGGGATTGGCTGCGGCCCCAGCGCACCCGCCCTTTCCCCAACACCTCTCCTTGGCACAGGGAGACGTTGCATCCCGCTGGGCGTCTTGGCGGAGAGGGGTGACAGCGCTCTCCATCCCGGCCTGGCAGCTGCTGCCTGAAGCCTGGCTCCGTCTCAGCTCCGCAGGCTCTGCAGTGAGAGGAGCGCTCCCAAGGCCAGTGCCAGGTGCTCCTCTTGTGCGAGTCCTGAGCGCTGGACTCGGGGAGGCGGGTGGGGCTGGGGCTGTGTCCGCCTTTGGGTCCACACCAGGGTGCAGATTTGGGGTCAGCTCCCGCCTCCTGTAGACAGTTGGAAAGGGGAACACGGACTCCTGCCCAAAAGCCCCCACTTTCCCAACTGAGCGATGTGGATGGCACTGATTTCAGCACCGGGCTCGGTGAACCCTCTGTTGCCCAAGTGGTTCGAACGTTTAAAATTGAATTTATTCCGCAGACCCATTGCTGGTCTAATTAAAACGTGGTACAGTTCCAGAGTGGACAGGAGACAGAAACACAGCCCGAATGCCCGACCTTGAGAATGTAGGACTCAAGTGCAGGCACCTAAAGGAGTTGATCTTGGGGGTGATCTGTGTCAGATGGGGAGGGGCTGGGGAGCAGAAATTGCTGTTTTCATTCAGGGTGCATAGGGGATCTGGGGACCCGTGCTGAGATGTTTGGGGTCTTATTCCTATTTTTTTTTAATCATTGTTTATGTTTAAATGGTGAGAATTTTAAGGGCTCAAAACTCTTACATTGATTTATTGAAAGTGATCGTGGTACGACTCATGTGCCAGCTTCTCCTAAACATTTATTTTTTTTTAAAGGTATGTTTTTATTTATTTGAAAGAGTTACAGAGAGGCAGAGACAGAGAGAAGTCTTCCATCCGCTGGTTCACTCCCCAGCTTTCTTAAAAGAAGCCTCTGGTGCAATTGACAGTGGAGAAGAAGAAGAAGAATCCTAAGAGCAATGCCATAGAAAGCATCTCTCTTTAGAGTGTCAGTTAAAGGCTCCGAAATTCAGGTGTCATTTTTGTTGCAAGAGAAAAAGTTCAACTCCTTTTCTGGGATTATAGTTATGACATAAATGATCAAATTACCTTTTCCTCCTGCTGGTTCCTGCTGAGCTGTTGATGTGATAGCTTTAAATTGCTTATCATGTTTTTGACTAAAAATGGTGTTTAATTAAGGTAACTAAGAGCATGAGATAATTCTAATTGATTAATGTTATTAAAAGAATAGGGAAAAGTTTTTTTTGAAAGCTGTTCCAGTGGGCTGGCACTATGGTGTAGAGGGGAAATAGCCATTGAATTTCAGAGCCTTTAATTGATGCTCTAATAGAGAAACACTTTCTATGGCATTATGGCTAAGCCTCTGCCTGAGGTTCCTGTCTCTGCTGCTCTTTGTCCAATCCAGTTCTCTGCTATGGCCTGGGTAAAGCAGTGGAAGATGGCACAGGTTCTTGGGCCCCTGCACCTGTGTGAGACCCATTAGCAGCTCCAGGCTTAGAATTGGCCCAGCTCTGACCACCGCAGCCATTAGAGACATGAACCAGCAGATGGAAGACTTCTCTCTTCATCTGCCTCTCTGTAACTCAGCGTTTCAAATAATTGCAAAAGCTGTTACAGAACTGCTTGGGTTTTTTCATGTGATATATGTTATATGTGTGTTAATAAGCCATACATTTTAAATTCATGGGACTTCTATAAATCTTTGATCAATAGCTAAAATTCGTTGGTGAAATAAAGATGTCTTTATGTTTGTTAACATATGTTTGTGCCTGGGTTTACTGCCCAATCTGGAACCTATTTATATAGGTTAGATGTTTAAGATCATGAAAATAGAAATCTAACCTAAGCTCATGTCAGAGTACAATATAGTGTTCTTCTGTGTTTCAGGATAACAGTTTAACCTCATCATGTTTGCCTGATATTTCAGTGTTCATAGCTGATGTAAATATTCTTGTTAAATATTAATTAGATGAATATAAATGTGATAAATATTCTGACATCAATTTAATACTCTAGGTAGGTAGTTTAAAATATATTAAAATATAAGCATAACACATGTTTTTGATAAAGCTATGGGGCACAAGGAACATGTTTTGATTAACATAATATCCTACAAGTAAGTAACAATACATTAAAAGTTCGTAAAAAAACCTTTTGTGAGAATAGGTTGACCAAGATTAAATGAATATTCTTTATATTTTTCTAAACTTTAAGCTGTTGTCGAAAGTACACTGAGATAACACTAAAATTTGGTCCCCTGTGTTAAAGCAACAAGGTTTTCTTAAAATAGTGTTAGTGATGGGGTTGATGTTGTGGCATAGTGGGTAAAGCCACTGCCTGCAATGTTGGCATCCTATATGGATACCAGTTCCAGTCTGCTCCACTTCTGATGCAGCTCTCTGCTAACGACCTGGGAAAGCAGTGGAAGATGACGCTAGTGCCTGGGCTCTGCCACCAGTGTGGGACACCTGAATGAAGCTCCTGGTTTCTGGCTTCAGGGATGATTCAGTTAATCTCCGCAGCTTTTTTTTTTTTTTTTTTTTATTTGTATGACAGTCTTTATTGACAACTTTATTGGCCAAAAAGAAAAGGGAGAAGTTTTAACAGTTTAATGCAGGACACTATTCTGATCTTGTCAGATGAAAGAAGTCCCATTTTAAATTTGCATCTACTTGTCAAAGATATACAATACTGAATCTGCATATGCAGGTTCCTTCAAGAAGTACTAAATAGCACAAGTAAGAATGAACTTCTCCCCCTTCAGTGCCTGGGAGAGTGCAAGTGAGGTTTCAGCACTCACAGGTCGCTGGTCAGCATTCTCAACAGCAGATGACCAAGTCCTAAGAGAAGTGGTCTGTCTCACCCAGACCATCAAAGCCTCACATACACTGAAATTTTTTCCATCAGAAATAGGTGCTTCGGGGGCAGAAAATAAGTTTGAGATTTTCATACACAACTTAACTAGGAGGGAAAAAAAAAAAACAACCATAAACCCAGTAAAACTAGCAGCTTTGATGCGATGAAGACCCAACATGGTCAAACTTCTTTCATTAGGACAGGAGTGGAAGGCGAGATTTCCTCATGGGTTTACACTTCTCTCATCCCCAAACCAGGCAGAATCGGGCGGTTCAGGAACAGACCCACGGCCCCTCCTGGGGTGCCGAGGGTCTGGGGTCCCACTCCCTGAGCACGCTGAAGGACCCACATGGAGCAGGGCCTAGGGACACTGTCCACTCGCACCCCACCACGGCATGCGACGCCCACCGAGGAAGGGGCACGACGGCGGGCAGCGGAGCAGACACTGTATTACCACGCATAGCCCAACTCGGCCGACAGCGCAACGGAAGCTGCAGGGAGAAGAGCGCCAGACCTGCGCCCAAAGGCCAGCCAGACGCCATCTCAGCCGGCCTCTAGAGGGCGCACGTCGAGGCGCGGCCTGGAGCCACGCCTCCCCCTCTGTGCGCGCAGCTCACCTACCTCCCGCGTGACGCCCCGCCCCCTGTCTCCGGACGTCACAATGCTGGAGTTGCTCCCTCGGAGCGCACCCGCCCTTCACCCAACGCTTCGCTTCTCGAGGGCACAGGGAGACGTTGCATCCCGCTGGGCGTCTTGGCGGAGAGGGGTGACAGCGCTCTCCATCCCGGCCTGGCAGCTGCTGCCTGAAGCCTGGCTCCGTCTCAGCTCCGCAGGCTCTGCAGTGAGAGGAGCGCTCCCAAGGCCAGTGCCAGGTGCTCCTCTTGTGCGAGTCCTGAGCGCTGGACTCGGGGAGGCGGGTGGGGCTGGGGCTGTGTCCGCCTTTGGGTCCACACCAGGGTGCAGATTTGGGGTCAGCTCCCGCCTCCTGTAGACAGTTGGAAAGGGGAACACGGACTCCTGCCCAAAAGCCCCCACTTTCCCAACTGAGCGATGTGGATGGCACTGATTTCAGCACCGGGCTCGGTGAACCCTTTGTTGCCCAAGTGGTTCAAACGTTTAAAATTGAATTTATTCCGCAGACCCATTGCTGGTCTAATTAAAACGTGGTACAGTTCCAGAGTGGACAGGAGACAGAAACACAGCCCGAATGCCCGACCTTGAGAATGTAGGATTCAGTGCAGGCACCTAAAGGAGTTGATCTTGGGGGTGATCTGTGTCAGATGGGGAGGGGCTGGGGAGCAGAAATTGCTGTTTTCATTCAGGGTGCATAGGGGATCTGGGGACCCGTGCTGAGCTGTTTGGGGTCTTATTCCTAGTTTTTTTTTTTTTTTTTTTTTTTTTTTTTTTTTTTACATTGTTTGGATTTAAATGGTGAGAATTTTAAGGGCTCAAAACTTACATTGATTTATTGAAGGTGATCATGGTACGACTCATGTGCCAGCCACTCCTATACATTTATGTCAGCCTTTTTAGTAATTTCGTTGTGATATTAATAGAGAAAATTGTTTTTAGTTCTTAGTTTGAAAACTATTGTGAATTTTCCTGTGGTATAATATCCGTAATTCCAGGGACAAGTGGTCATTCCATCTTTTTACTTCAGTAAGTTGCGGGTGGGGGGGGGGGTGGTCAGCTCAAGTTCAGAAGTCTTAGCAGCCTACCTGTGCTTCTGAAACCAAATGCTCCAGTTCCCATATGATTCAGTGAAGTCCCACATCCCCAAGACACCTTTTTTTTTTTTGTTTGTTCTTAGTTTGAAGTAAATGTTCTTTCTCTTCCCAGGTAAGGGAATGAAATATGTGTGTATATACACATACATACATATATATATGTATATTTAAACATATGTATATATATTGATTAAGACATATAGGTTATATGATAGTACAAATGGATAACAGGAAAGCCTGTTTAAAACTAACAAGAGGAGTGGATACATGGTGCCGCTTTTAAGTGACTGGTTGGAATGTTCATGTTTCAAATTAGAATGCCAGAGTGTCTTTTTAGGGGTCAAAATCAGGTCCAGGCTGCTCAGCACTAGATGCAATTCACCAGAGATGGGAGTCAACAAAGGCAACAGGTTTTTTCCTTTTTTATTTTTTTAAAGATTTATTTATTTGAAAGTCAAAGTTACACAGAGAGGAGAGGCAGAGAAGAGAGAGGTCTTCCATCCGATGGTTTACTCTTCAACTGGCCTCAGTGGCCGGAGCTTCACTGATCTGAAGCCAGGGGCCAGGAGCATCCTTTGGGTCTCCCATGTGGGTGCATGGGCCCAAGGTGTTGGGCCACCTTCTGCTTTCCCTGACCATAGAGAGCTGGATGGGAAGTGGAGTAGCTGGTCTCGAACTGGCGCCCCTATGGGATGCTCTGCACTTCAGGCCAGGGCGTTAACTCGCTGTGCCACAGCGCCGGCCCCATGGCAACAGGTTCCTTTAAGAAGCTATCATTCTTGGAGAAGAGCATATTTGGGATGAAAGAGGTCTGCATTTTCTATAAGAATGCTGGCTTCTTAAATAATGCTGTCTCCTTGCATCATTTCTCATTTCTGGTGAATTGGCTGTTCAGTGGGGAGCAGCCTGGTCCTAATTTTGAATGCAACAAATGGGGAGCCAGCCAGGAATGGGGACTGGTCCTCACATGTTACCGGGGAAAGGTGAGCACTGCTGTGTCCACCAGCCTTTTTTTTTTTTTTTTCTTGTAAACATGTCTGATATTATTCACAGCCACATATTTAAATGGCAGGGCAAAGGGGTGTAACCAACTCAGGGGAACACTAACTATAGGACAGAACTGACACTGGCACCAATATGCCTCTCCAGTCAGCTTGAAAGTAGCTTTCCAGGTGGATCTGGTCCACACCTGGGAGTTTACCTGATTGGCAGAAGGTGGCAGTAGGGAGAAATGTGCCTGGGCTCAGGCTAACTCCTGGGATCATCCACATCTTCGCCCTTTGTTTTAGGGCAAGCATGACCCTGCTTAGCATGGCATGACAACAAACCACAACTCACAATAAGTATTGGGTTAAATTGAAGGGCACCTAGCAAGGGGGTTAAGGGCAGGGAGGAAAAGGAAGGGCAAAGGGAAAAAATGCTGGGCCCATCATCTTTCAGGCCTTTCTGATTGGCAGGTGGTTGAACAGGTGTGGTCAAACAGGGGCATGAGATCACACAGGGGGTGTGGTGAAGGCGTGGTCTTCCAGCTCACACACCTGATCCTATATACCTGCCTACATCATTCCTCTTTCAGAGACTCCATTTCCTTAATCCTAAGGGATGTGGAAGGGCACAGAATCATCAAGTCTTCTATAGTTGTTTCCTGCTTATGAGGGGTGTAGTGCAGGCTCTGCCTGTCTTTGGTCTGAAAGTCTCCGCCTATCTCATCTAACGAATTTGCCTTGTGAGCTGGAGCAGTCTCGGTCACTGCCAAAATCTGTGTCTGTTGCATGGTCAGTTACTCCTGATGTTGAGCTCTGAAACATAGAAATTTGTTAATTAGTATGAGCAAAACTTGAACGAGACCTATTGTAACTGGAATGCCATCTTAACACAAAAAGGACACACCTTATAGGCTCCCAGATATGATAGTACAAATGGATGGTGGTGGGTGGTGATAGACCATAAGCCCATTTAGTTTGAGTATAGAGAATTATAATAGAAGAACCCTTAGGAGTTTTAAGGTTGATAAGGTTCTCAGAATCAAGAGAGGCAGGTGTAGCAGCTCTGCCTTAAGGTGGAGCAGTTTTGGTGTGATGAAGGCAAAGGCTTCCCTTATCTTTTTGCTTAAGGTCTCCGACAAGATGAATGGCGTGTCTTTCAAATTCAGCTGTGAAGTCTTCAGAGGTAGAAGTTTGATCCTAATTTCAATGAGGTGGTCATGCTCAACAGAACCTGGTAAGGTCCCTTCCATTTAAGCTGTAACCTATCTGAAGGGACTCCTATGAATGACTGGTTCAGGGAGACTCTGAGTTGGCTTGTCAGAGGGTTGGCTTTTGGAGACTGGGATCCAGGGTTTGACATTTTGGGCCAGTATCCTTACAGGCTGCAGAGCGATCTTTGAAAGACAGAAGCCAAACCTCTCCCCATCGTTATGAGGGGATCAGGCCCCTTCCATAGTTGTGTGGTCGAGTCCCTCAATGAAACAGAGGCAACTGGGTTGGACCTGTGAGAGGTCTCCAGTGTGTCACTGCTGGTGGCTCTCCAGGGGGTGAGACTTGTAAGAGATTTAAGTTGAAAGCATTGTTAGGGTGCTCATGGTGGGGGTGCCATACTCCCTCCTCTGTTTTTTAAGCATAGTGTTAAGGTCGTGCATGGGAAGTTAGTGCACAGTGACTCCTGTGTTAATTTAACAATGGTCACTTTTATTTTGTAACAATTAACACTTTTATGTGTGACATCAGTGATCACCTGAGGAACTAGACATGAGCTGCCTAGGCTATGGAAGCCTTCTGAATCCTTAAAGTCCATCAGTATTTAGACAAGGCCATAAGCAAGTAGAAGTTCTCCACTCCATTGGGAGGAAAGCACCTCCTTTAATGACCACTTCTTTCCACTGGGGTCTCACCCAGGGAGGTTTTCCGTGTAGGGGCACCTTTTCCCAAGAGGAGACAAGATTCTGTCCCTTAGCAAGAAGGATTTGGGTGGGTGAGTACAATTTGTGAGAATTGATCTTTGGTAAAATATGGGCAACTCAAATTCCTTCCAAAAGCCCATGGAGTCCTATTCCAGCTGATTAGGACAACCTATAATTATTGACCTCTGAGAACAAAATTGGAAATACTGCATGGCCTTATGAATGCATAAGATTCCAAAGAATGATACCTAGGGACTCCCCTTTCATCTTTCTCTGTCTCTACTAAGATTTTATTTATTTATTTGAGAGGCAGAGCTACAGAGAGAGGAAGAGACAAAATTCTTCCATTCACCACTCCCCAGATGGCCGCAATGGCCAGAGTTGGGCCAATCTGAAGCTAGGAGCCAGGAGCTTTTTCAGGGTCTTCCATGTGGGTGCAGGGGCCCAAAACTTGGGCCATTTTCCTTTTCTTTCCCAGGCCTTAAGAGAGAGCTGGATCTGAAGAGGAGTAGCTGGGACAGGAACCAGTGCCCACATGGGATGCCCGCACTACAGGGGGAGGCTTAGCCACTATGCCACAGTGCTGGTCCCTCCCCTTGTTCTCTTAGAGCCAGTTGGAGCTTCCCACAGAAGCCCCTGGTGAAATGGACTGTGGGGAGCTAGAATCGTAAGAATAATGCCATAGAAAGCATCTCTCTATTAGATGTGAATTAAAGGCTCTGACATTCAGATGTAGTTTTCATTGCATGAGAAAATGTTGAACTCCTTTGCTGGGATTAGGGTTGTTTTATGAGAAATATTCAAGTTCCATTTTTTTCCCCTGCTGGTTGCAGCTGAGTTGTTGAGGTGATAGTTTAAAACTGCTCATTATATTTTTCCCTAAAAATTGTGTTTAAAGTAACCAAGATCAAGAAATAATTCTAATTAATTAATATTAAGAGAAGAAGGTAAAATTTGTTTAACAGTTTATTTCACTGTGCTTGCCTGGTATTTCAGTCTTTATAACTCATGTACATGCACTTGTTAAATGTAAACTAGATGAATCTAAATGTGATAAATATTTTGATATAAATTTAATGAGTGGACATCTTAAATTCTATAGAAACAATACATATGGGAATATTAATTATGATTGTATAAGTTGTTGATATACAGCATATGAAGAAATTATCTTTCGCCCCATGTTTACAGCAGTTCAATTCACAGTAGCTAAGATATGGAATCAATCCAGATATCCATCAGCTGTTGACTGAATAAAGAAATTGTGGGATAGATACATGATGGAATATTATGCATCCATAAAAAAGAATGAAATCCTAATTTTGAAACAAAAATGCATGCAATTGGAGATTTTTTAGTTAGTGAAATGAGCCAAATACCATGTTTTCTCTGATTTGTGGTAACTAATATACAGCATACAAAAATGTAATATACATGTGTGAAATTTATATTTTGAGATTTGATGATTGTTCATAATCCTTGTGTATACTCCTGAGTCACAGTGATTTTTCTACTTATTACTTTTTAATTCTTTATTTAGTGGAGGGTTAAGCTTGTGATTTTATAATTAGAAGTATGTCATTGCAAGACCTGAAAGAAAAATAAGGAAGGAAAGAGGGGGGAGGGTGTAAGTGAGGGAGGTTAGGAGGGTGCGTGGGAAGTATTATTATTATTATTATTTTAAATTTCTTTATCACTGTCAAGATAAAACATCCCACAGTATCCTGTTCACCTGTCTGTCAAGTTGCCACTTCACTCCCCACCCCCTTCCCTATGTGAAATGCGGTTGCTCTTCCTGTCAAACCAATGAAGCTTCTCATACTGCTAGGTTAACCACCACCACCTCACTAGCCAGGTATTTCCTTGCCTTCTTGCTCACTGTAGCTTTGCCCGAACATTTACTTGTTAGGAAACCTATCAGGGGAGTCCAACTGAGGAACCCAACATGAGGAACTCATCTCCCCACCTCCACATCCAGGTGGAAGGTGAGCTGCTGCCCCTAGGTTTTAAGCTTATCTTCCAGTTGACTGCTTTTTAAGGAGTGTGATTAAGACATTACCTCCCCAAGGCCTCAGAGGCTTCATGTTCTTTTCTATTCTCTGAGAGACTATTTCTTTGAGAGTCTAGAGTTCATGTGATCTACTGTTTCTTTCCCTGACTTTCATCCAAGCGTATCCAACGTTTTAGTCTCTAGGAGAGCAGCTATCTTCTCAGGCTGTTTTCTCCCATAACTCTCGACAGCTGTTCCAGTTTAAGGTTTTAGGGTTCTGATTAAAGGACAGAAGTTAACTAAAAACTGTTCCCGAAGGTCAAGCTTGAAAGAGAAAACCTCTAGGTTTACATACTTTAGGGAATGATTCTTATGAATGTAGTAAGTTTCCTAAAAGGAGAGTTCTGCCTAAATATCTAATTTTAAAGATTAAGAAACAAGTGAGTCCCCAGGAAGACTCGGAGGAAAATCTCTATGCAAGATCCAGGTTAATCCTTTCTTTAAGAACTCTTTAGAAACCTCTGGAGCTACCATGGTCTCTGTTTTATGCTTTGAGGAAGAGAGAATACTAGATTGAACGACTTCAAAAGGCTGGTCTGAATTCCTAGGAAAAGGTGTTCTGTCTGCACACGCACACTAGTTCCCCTGTATCCGAGTTCCTCAATTTGTTTGCATACATTCCTAGCCTCATTCTGTTTGTATTCCACTTCTACAATAAACTAACCAAGTTTTCCTCAAAATCTTCCAGAAGTGTGTTGGTATCACCCTCCTCCCCAGCCATCTTCTTAGCCATCTTCTTGGCGATTGACCTGTACGCAGCATGCCTGCAGCCCTGGACACTGCACTCATGCGGACCACACAACACCCACCCACAAAGTGTCAGGAAGTATTATGAATATATTTCCTTTATGTAGATTTTAAAAATTTAATTAAAAATTATTCATGTGTAACAAACAATTCAAGACTAGTTCAGAATAATGAAGAGCAAAAATTCTGTATGTAAGAACAATCATGGAAAAGGCAAAAACAAAAAAATTGAAAAAGTAACATATATGAAAAAGAACAAAATTATGTACTTTTTTTAAAGATTATTTATTTGAAAGTCAGAGTTTCACAGAGAGAGGAGAGGCAGAAAGAGAGAGAAAGAGAGAGAGAGAGAGAGAATGAGGTCTTGCATCCACTGGCTCACTTCCCAACTGTGTGCAATGGCCAGAGCTGAGTGGATCCGAAGCCTGGAGCCAGGAGCTTCTTCTGGGTCTCCTACATGGGTGCAGGAGCCCAAGCACTTGGGCCATCTTCTGCTGCTTTTCCAGGCCATAGCAGAGAGTTGGATACGAAGTGGAGCAGCCAGGACTTGAACCAGCACCCAGATGGAATGCCTGCACTGGAGCAGTGGCTTTACTGTTACACCACAGCGCTGGCCACTGTACTTTTGTTAAAAAAATGTATTAGAGATTTTTAGAGCAATGTCTCAAATGTAAAAAATAAATTATCTGTATAAAAAGAAACTAGGTAGGTAGTTTTGAAAATATTTTAAAATATAAGCATGTGTTTTTGAAAAACTATGGGATACAAGAAATAGATTTTGATTAATAATAATAATTATCCTACAAGTAAGTAAAAATATTAAAAGTTTGTAAAAAATGAAATCTTTTGGGAGATTGGTTTGACAGATTAAAATGATTTCTGTGTTTCTAAATCTTAAGCTGTTCAATCAAAAGTACATAACACTAAAATTTAGTTCCCTATGTTAAAGCAAAAACATTTTCTTAAAACATTGTTAGTATTGAGGTTGATGTGTCGTAGTGGGTAAAGCCGCTGCCTGCAGTACTGGCATCCCAGTGGGCAGCAGTTCATTTCTGACTGCTCCACTTCGGATCCAGCTCTCTGCTAATGGCCTGGGAAAGCAGCAGCAGATGACCCAAGTGCTTGGGCTCTCCCACAAATTTGGGAAACCTGAATGAAGCACCTGGTTCCTGGCTTCAGTCTGGCCTGATCCAGACCATTGCAGCCATCTGGGGAGTGAACCATCTGCTGATGGAAATCCCCCTCACCTGTTTGTCTGTAAGTCTGCCTTTCAAATAAATACATACTTTTTTTTAAAAGATGTATGTATTTATTTGAAAGGCAGAGTTACAGAGATGCAGAGGCAGAGAGAGAGGGGTGGGAGGGGAGAGGTCTTCCATCTGCTGTTTCACTCCCCAGATGGCCGCAACAGCCGATACTGTTTTGATCTGAAGGCAGAAGCCAGGAGCTTCTTCCAGGTTTCCCACATGGGTGCAGGAGCCCAAGCACTTGAGCCATCTTCTGCTGCTTTCCCAGGCCATAGCAGAGAGCTGGATTGGAAGTAGAGCAACCAGGACTCGAACTAGCACACATATGGGATGTTGGCACTGCAGACGGTGGCTTTACCTGCAGTGCCACAGTGCTGACACATAATTCTTTTAAAAATATATTGCTAGTAAATGTTTTAAAAATTCTTGATCTTTAAGATATCTAATACATTTTCAACTATTTTGTAAACTACAGCTTCTACTTTTAGTTTCCATTTCATTGGTAACTCTTCCCTCATTTTTAAAAAGATTTATTTATTTATTTGAAAGGCAAAGTTAGAGAAAGAAAAAAAGAGATACAGCAAACTTCACCTGCTGGTTCACTTCACAAATGGCCACAATGGATACAGTTGGTCTGATCCAATGCCAGGAGTTTCATCCTGGTCTCACACATCTGTGCAGGGGGCCAAATACTTGCATCATGGATATAGGTATTCTACAGGTTGTATGACACTTACAAATGTCTGCTGTTCCTGGTGTGATGTCATCTGTTGTGACATCTTAATAATGAAAAAGACCTGGGTTGGTGCTGTGGTGTAGTGGGTAAGGCTGCTGCCTGAAGTGCTAGCATCCCATATGGACACTGGTTCAAGTCCCAGCTGATCCACTTTCAATCCAGCTTCTGCTATGGCCTGGGAAAGCAATAGAAGATGGTCCAGATTCTTGGGCCCCTACACCTGCTTGGTAGACCTGGAAGAAGATCCTGCCTGCTGGCATCGGATCTGCACAGCTCTGGCCATTGTGGCCATCTGGGAAATGAACCAGTGGATAGAAGACCTGTCTTTATCTGCCCAGATTCTCTGTAACTCTGACTTTCAAATAAATAAATCTTAAAAAAAAAAAAAAAAAAAAAGACGGGACTGGCATTGTGGTGCTGCAGGTTAACACTGTGGCCTGAAGCACTGGCATCCACTTCCAATGCAGCTCTCTGCTTTGGCCTGGGAAAGCAGTGGAGGATGGCCCGAGTACTTGGGACCCTGCACCCATGTCGGAGACCCAGAAGAAGCTCCTGGCTCCTGGCCTCGGATTGGCACAGCTCTGGACATTGTGGCCAATTGGGGAGTGAACCATCGGATGGAAGACCTCTCTCTGTCTCTCTGCCTCTCCTCTCTGTGTAACTCTGACTTTCAAATAAATAATAAATTAATTAAAAAAAAATAAAAAGACCTGGCCACTGTGAAAGATCCTTGGGGTTGTCCTGTCCTTGTCAAAATACTATATACAATCAATAAAACTAAGTTACCAATAAACCAATCAACTGTCATTCAAGTTTTATTCCTGGTGATTTTATGTGCTTTGTCATCCACATTTCTGGTTCTTACTAAAAACATTTACAACCAAAAAGAATGTAAGAGATGTAGATTTCTGATGAAGTGAACTAAATAATTAAAAAATTCTGATTAAAGAAATCTGACAGATTCATAAACCTGCTACTATAGATCACACAAAAGAATAAGTTCATAGGGACTGAAATCGATCAAGTTGTAGGTTCCTGTGTCTTTAAACATTGTTGGTTCTCTATTAAGATGTTTTGCTTGAAGGCTTAAAGATTTTCCTGTGGTTGTTAGAGTTTATAATTCTTTGGTGGACTATGCTTTTATAAACAAAAGTAAAAACATTTAACTTTCTGCTTACTAAATTCATCCAAATTCAAAAACTACTTAATAAGAATGGCTTACATGGCAGTGTAATTATTTTGAAAAGTCCATTAAAATATGTTCTCTTAATAAAATGCAATTTAAACAATGATAAATGTAAAAATAAACAAAAATGCCTAACTTCATAATCCCAGCATTTCATGGAGTAAATAAAATGATCCCTTATTAATAGATCTTGGGTTTGGTATTGTGTAACAAGCAAACCCGCTGTCTGTGGTGCTGCCATTCCACATGGGTACTGTTTTGAGTCCTGGCTGCAACACTTATGATCCAGCTCATTGGCAGCTCATTGGTAAGGCTCCAGGGAAAGCAGTGGAAGATGGCTCAAGTGCTTGGTCTCTTGCACCCACATGGGAGACCCAGAAGAAGCTATAGCTCCTGGCTTCCACCCAGGGCAGCTCTGACCACTAGGGCCATATGGTGAGTGAACCAGTAGATGGAAAATTCTCTCCTGCCTCTCTCTTTCTCTCTCCCTTTCTCTCCCTTCCTCCTTCCCTCTCCTTCACTCTATCTCTCCCATTCAAGTAAATAAATAAATCTTACTAAAAAATAAATCTTAACACTTAAATGATTAGGTAATGTAACTTAAAAAATAAGACTTCCTTGGTTAGGAAGTCTTCCTACCTTAAAACATTTCTTAAATCTTATATTAAAATGTGAAGAATCAACTGTTTACTATTCTTATATAAACTCAGTTATCATATGCCTGCTGTTAGATGGTTTACTTTTTTAAAGATTTATTTATTTATTTGAAAGGCAGAGTTACAGAGAGGAAGAGGCAGAAATTGGGAAAGAGAGAGAGAGTGAAAGAGAGAGAGAGACAGGGACAGACAGACAGGTCTTCAATCCACAGATTCACTCCCCATTGTCCGCTATTGCTGGAGCTGGGCTGATCTGAAGCCAGGAGCTTCTTCCAGGTCTCCCACCCAAGTGGCAGAAAACCCAAGTACTTGAGCCATCCTCTGCTGCTTTCCTAGGCCATAGCAGAGCTGGATTGGAAGTGGAGCAGCCGGGACACCAACCGGTGCCCATATGGGATGATGGAAGTGTGGGCTGCAGCCTTACCTGCTTCAACACAGCACTATCTGTTTATGGTTTTTAAGACACAAACTTGATTTCTTGTTGGACTGCTGTGATTTCTTTCTTTGGAGCTGCATGCTTGTCACCAGTCAGCAGTGTGTCACCAGTAATAATACATGTCAGAATCAGGCCAGATAATGCTGTCCTCATGGTTCTCTCCTACAGAAATGATTAATTTCATTTTAGGAATAGACTGCAAGTAAATTTGGTCTAAAAACCCCTTCTTCTAAAACCTTTATGTTACTAACATATGTGGCCATAGGGTTTATGACATTGACTGGGTTGTCAACTTTTTCCACCCCAACATGGGACCAAATCAGAACAAACACCAGGAACAAGTTCATATGGAGCAGAAGAGCAAATAGAGTCTGGTTACTACTATGACAGATAAGTAGTGTTCTTAAAAAATGAAAAGAGGAGGGGAGATATTAACATTAATATATTGTTGCTGATACCAACATTAAACTATATAGGCCAAAAGGTTATATAAAAAAGTGTCATTATATATGAATGTCCAATAACAAATTTGCCAAAAAAAAAAAAAAAAGATCTGCCAGGACTACAACCTCTAAAGAGGGCTACTGTTGCAAAGATGAAATTGGGGAGGTGAAGTTTTTACATTTCCATGCTTTTATGTCATTCTGTTGATCTGTGTGTGTCTATGGCCACCAATGTTCTGGTAACTAACAGGCCCACTTGCTTTGCCTGTTACCCACAATCCAGTTATGCTCATGCTTGCCTCTGAGACACTTTTGTCTGTAAACCCACATAAGCAACTGGAGGACACAACTAGATATGGCTGTTGGTGGATGCAGCTGTATGTGGGTGTGTGGCTATGTGTGGATATATGCAGATGTCTCTCTGTGTGATTCTGATGCTGCCATGGACACAATGTGGATATCTTCTGTGGCCCCACTGCTATCAGGGTCTAATTTCTGCTCCTTACAAACTTCTCCTCACCACTGTGAGTAAAGAAAGTTGGGCAAGACTCCCTGAGACCCAACATCCAGAGGATAAGGGACCAACAGATGAGGAAGAGGCAGATGCTGCAGTTTCCTGAGCCCAAGCACAGCCAACAGGATGTGGAGACACAGCTACATAGACACCTCCAAAGGAAGTCAGAGAGAAGAAAGCTCAGCCAGTGGTAATCCATGCTCTGGAAGAGAGGGGTTATCACCTTCCAAATAGCACCCAATGTCAAAAGACCATGAAGAAACTGTTATGACTGAGTTGAAATGCAGTGTTATTACAGGTTTTTGAGTCCTTCCAGGTTATGTGGTTTAGGGGTGAACACAAAGCAATGAATGTTTCTAACTTTGCATTCAGCCTCGATGCCCAGACCTGACATCACTGTATGTTTTGATTTGGTAATAAGTGGTTGAATGTAATGGCCAATGTTTGTAATAATACATGTGCTCCATTCTGTAAACATTGGATAATAACCTGTGATTCACCTGGGAGATGGCATATAGACTACTGGACTTTTGCCATCATGAGATGAATACATCCTGATGGCTACAGATACCATAGTGGACTGAACAGTTTTGTAGCCATGACCAACAGATTGGCTTGTTCCATGTGCAACAAGTTGCCTTGCAGCTTTGCAACTCAGCTACTTTGGAAGGTAGCCAAAGCCACTGACTCCACTGGACTTGGTTATGAAAGTACATTTGGCCTCATCTAGAGACTTTAGCCCATGAGCATGTAACGAATCCCAATGATGGTTGGAGGTATTCTATGTTATGTGTTACACTTTTGTGTTGTAACTTGCTCTATTGTTTTGGCCTTTGGACTCAATGTTCCACTCCCCGTTGTACTCCTTGCCTTGTATTTGGATCTATCTGGAAGATGAGGCAAACACAGATTATACAGTGAGGATACTTGAAGTGGCAAAGAGTTGAGAGATTGAACTTGAGAAGATGAAGGTACCAAGTTCCCACACCGCCATGCCCTCCTTGCCTCCTTATCTGTGTGCCTCTTTGACCAATAATGTCCTGGTAACCAAGAGGCCACCTGCTTGGCCTGCTGCCCAGAACTCTGTTATGTAATTATCTGGCTCTGAGCCACTATTGTCTGTAAACACACATAGCAACTGAGGGCGTGATTAGGCATGGAGTTGTTGGACACGGCTATATGTGGAAGTATGGCTATTTGTGAATGTATGCAATTATCTGTGTGTGTGTATGACTGCCACCACAAACACAAATGTGGATATCTACTGTGGCCAGAGTGCCACTGGGTCTAGTGTCTGTTCTTTGTATTTCTCAGTGCCACTGTGAGTTCAAGCACTGGGCCATGACCCCTGAGTACCAAGATGCAGAGCCCAGGAATCAAGTTTGAAGCAAAGGGAGATGGTGCAGCTACTGGAGCCCAAGAACAGCCCAAAGGACATGGAGAGAGTTCAACACATCCACAAGTGACTTAGGCAAAGAGAAGACAGTGCAGCCAGTGGTAGCTGGGGACAAAAGAGAATGGCATCCATGCCCTAGAAGGGAGGGGTCATCAGACTCCAGGTTCACCCAGTGCTAAAAGACTGCCCAACAAGTAATAATTGAGTCCTCTGGTGATGAGGACAATTTGAAGCCTTCAGTGTTATGTAAGTTTCCTGATTCCACTGGATTTTGGGGTTTAGGGGTGGACAGGCTCCTGTTCTTGGGGTAAACCTGAAACAATGAATGTTTGTAACTGCACTCAGTCTCAGGGCCCAGAACTGACACCTCTTTATGTTTTGATTTGTTAATAAGTGGTTTAATGTGATGGCCAATGTTTGTAACAATATATGTTCTCCATTCTGTAAACTACAGGATGTTAAACTGTGATTCACCTTGAGATAACAGATAGACTTCTGGACTATTGCACCTCCCCCCCTCCCCCGCCCCCCAGATAGATACAACCTGATTGCTACAAATACCCTTGTGGACTGAACAGCTTTGCAACAGTGACCAGCAGATTGGTTTGTTGGATGTGCAGTAATTTGTCTGCCAGCTCTGAAGCTCATCTACCTCAGAAGGCAACCATAACCACTGCCAACACTGGACTTGGTTATGAAACTACACTTAGACTCATCTAGAGACTTTAGCCCAGGAGCAATATAATGGAACCCAGTGAGGGTTGGGGGTATTCCATGTTATGTCTTATACCTTCTTGTTGAAACTGTGTTTTTAATATGGCCGTTGGATGTAACGTTCTACATCTCATGTGTACTCCTTCCCTTTCACTCAGATCTCTCCAATAGAGCAGGCACCTGTATATTGTACAACCACGATACTTGAAGTGGCAGGGTGTGGAGAAGATGAATTTGGGAAGAAGAAGGTATCAAGTTCCCACACTTTTATTTCCTTGTGTCCTTATCTCTCGGCCTTAGTGGCAATCAATGTCTTGGTTAACAACAAGCCCAACTATTGTCTAATTGTTAGGTAAGGGCTTGGCTGCAGGTCTCCATTTTCTGTTAACCTCCATAAGCACCTGGCAACAGGGGTAGGTGATGCTATTATCAAACACTACTGTGCTTTCTATAGCACTACATACACTAGACCTAACTAAACTTCCTTTTATCCAGTAAACTGATAGTCCAATTTTCACCAGGGCGATTTTAAGTTTTTTTCATCCACAGCTCTGTTTCACACTAAATACTTTTAGAATCTGGAATGGCTCTATCAAATATTTATAAACATAGGCTCCCAACAAGGTGAACTAAAAATTTCAGAAATTCTGATGAAAAAACTGACAGATTGTTGGAACTGCTACTGTAGGTCATACATGAGATAAAAGTAAGCACATAGAGAATCAAACTGGACAGATTGTACCTTCCTGCCATTTCTGTGTCTGTTACTGACAACATTGTTGGATCTCTCCTTGTTTTATCTCAAGGCTTAAAGATTTTCATGCCATTTATAGAGTTTATAACACTCTGGTGGACTATGTTTTTATAGAGAAAAGCCAAAACCTTTATATACCATTCCTTACTACTAAATTCCTCCAAAATTAGAAACTGCTTATGGAAATTTTTGGTTTCCATGATAATGCAATTATTCTCAAATTCCATTAAAATAATCTGTCCTGTTAATAATAAGGTAGAACTTAAAACATTGATGGGTTTAAAAAGATACACACAACACTTGACTTCAATGGGTCCCAGCCTTTTAGTGAGTAAACTGATCAATTCTTAATAGCTCTTAAACATCAAAAGGCTTGATGCTGTAGCTTTAAAAAACAGCTGTGGTGCAGTAGTTTAAGCATACAACTGTTTCGCCAGTGTCCCACATGGGTACGGGTTTGAGTCCTGGCTGCTCCACTTCTGATCCAGCTCTCTGCTGATGGCCTGGGAAAGCAGCAGAAGACGACCTAAGTGTTTGGTCTTCTACAAGGCATGTGTGACCTGGAAGAAGCTCCTGGCTCCTGGCTTGGGATCAACACAGCTCCAGCTGCTGCAGCCATTTTTGGAGGGAACTTCAGATGGAAAACCTCTCTCTCTGTAACTCTGACTCTCAAGTAAATAAATCATTTTTTTAAAGATTTATTTACTTGAGAGTCAGAGTTACACAGAGAGAGAAGGAGAGGCAGAGAGATAGAGAGAGGTCTTCCATCTACTGGTTCACTCCCCAGATGGCTGCAATGGCCAGAACTGTGCTGATCCTAAGGCAGGAGCAGGAGCTTCCTCTAGGTCTCCCACGTGGGTGCAGGGGCCCAAGGACTTGGGTCATCTTCCACTGTTTTTCCAGGCCACAGTAAAGAGCTGGATCAGAAGGTTTTGAACCTGTGCCCATATTAGATTCTGGCACTGAAGGTTGCGGCTTTACACACTGTGCCGCAGTGCTGGCCTCTTGAGTAAATAAATCTCTAAAAAAATGAACAATTTAAGAATTCCTTGTTTAGTCTTTCTAAGTTAAAACATTTTTATAAATCTGATATTAAAATAAGAGGAATCAACTTGTCTTACTGACATTGCATGGTCTATTATAATGACTACCATTAGATTGCATATAGTTTTTCAGATACAAACTTGACTTGCTGTTCTGTTGTTGATTTGTTATGTGTTCCTTCAGAGCTTCATGTCCATCACCTGTCAGTTTTTTTCAAAAGTCCAATCCCCTGCCAGATGATGTTGGTCTGATATTTTGACATGATGGTTCTTGCCTACAGAACTGATAATAATTTTAGGAATAGACTGCCAGTAAACTTTAGCTGCAAACCCCTTTTCTAAACCTCTAGGCTGCTCATATATGCGGCTGAAGGGGTTTATAACACTGACTCTTGGTTGGTTGTCAACCATGTCTATACCAATATGGGTCCAAATCCGAGCAATGTCCAGGAATAAATCCATCTTGACCAGAAGAGCAAAAAAATATAGCTACAGGATGACAAGTCAGACAGTAAAAACTATTTCAAACTTACTAACAAATAGGGTAGGTTTCTAAGTGACTGGTTGGGATGCCCCATTCCATATCAGCAAAATTAGTTCCATACTGATCACCACTAGACAAGCAGTTCACCAGTGATAAGAGTCAGTGAAAGGAAATAGGTTTCTTTATTTAAGATTTACTTATTTGAGATGCAGAGTTATAGACACTAGGGAGATACTAGAGAACGATCTTCCATCTGCTTGTTCGCTCACCAAATGGCAGCATTGGCCAGAGCTGGGCTGACAAGGAGCCAGAAGTTTCTTCTGTGTCTCCTGCAGGGTTGAAGGGGTGCAAGCATTTGGGCCACCTTCCATTATTTTCCCAGGCCATTCAGCAGTGAGCTGAATCAGAAGTGAAGCATCTGGAACTTGAACTGGCACCCATATGGGAAGCTGGTGCCACAGACAGAAGCTTAATCTACTGTGCCTCAGCTCCAGCCTCAGGTACACAGGTTTTTTCCATTCTTCTTCTTCTTCTTCTTCTTTCTTCTTTCTTCTTTCTTCTTCTTTTTTTTTTTTTAAGAAGCCAACATTCATTGAAAAGAGCATATTTGAAATCAAAGGATTCTGCCTTTTCTAAGGATTCTGGCTTCTTTAATGAAACTGTCTCCGCATCCACTCTCATGAGTTGGTTGTTTAGTAGCTAGCAGCCTGGGCCTAATTTTGAGTGTAGCAAATGATGAGCCAACCAGGAGTGGGAGTCTGGGCTTCACATGTGGCTCAGGAAAGGTGAGCACTGCCTGTGTCCACCAGGCTGCTCTTGGTGAGCTGACCCCATGCCTGGGATTTCAGGGATATCCCAGTAGCCGCTGAGCCCATTTTCTTGGATGCCTTCCCTTCTGTCCTCATTGTGATGTAGCTGCCTAGTATCATTTTATTGGTACAAGTAAATGGTACTTTTGGGAGTCAGGGGGCTCCAAGATTGGGTCAGTTGAAATGGGTGCATACTGGGAATCTATTTGGTCTGCCATTTGTTTGGGCTTCCTGGCAGTTGGACCTCTTTTAGTTCATTTGTTCATAAAAGCATAAATCTAAGATCATGTGAAAATACAATAGTGTTTTGTATTTCAAGGATAATAATTTGACTATTCTGCCTGACATTTCAGCTTCATAACTACTGTAAATATTCTTGTTTAAATTAAAAAAATGTAAATCGAGAGGCCAGCACTGTGGCTTAGCGGGTAAAGCTTGCAGTGCCAGCACCCCATATGGGTGCTGGTACAAGACCTGGCTCCTCTACTTCCCATACAGCTCTCTGCTATGGCCTGGGAAAGCAGTAGAAGATGGCCCAAGTGCTTGGTCCCCTACACCTGTATGGGAGACTGGAGGAACTCCTGGCTCCTGGCTTCAGATCGATGCAGCTCCAGCTGTTGAGGCCACTGGGGAGTAGACCAGCAGATGGAAGACTTCCCTCTGCCTCTGCCTCTGCCTCTCTGCAACTCTTCCTTTTAAATGAATAAATAATTTTTTTCAAAAAGGTAAATCAGATGAATATAAATGAGAAATATTTCTAAATATAAGTTTAATGAATTGCCTTCTTAAATTCTGTAAAAACAGTATATTTGGGTCTGTTAACAAATATGCTTTTATACATTATTGATATACAGCATATAAAATAGTTATCTGTACATCTTTCTGTAGCAGCTCAATTCACAGTAGCTAAGATATGGAGTAAGCCCAGATATCCATTGATAGCTAGGTAAAGAAATTGTGTTTCACAACAAAATGGATACTGTTGGAGACCATTATCATTAGTGCAATCAGCCAGTACCAAAAGACAAATGTGTTTCCTCTGATTTGTGGAAATTAATGTTTCGAGTAAAAAAAGTAATGTATTTGAGTTAAATTCACATATTGAGATTTGATTTTTGTTTGTAGTCCTTTTATTTACTTCTGAGGAACAGTGGTTTTTCTATTTACTACTTGTTGAATTCTATTTAATGGAGGGTTAAGCTTGTGATTACAAAGTAAATTGAAAGTAAGTCATTGCAAACATTAAAAGAATAATGAGAGGAAGGAGGAGGGAGTGTGGGACTCAGGGAAGGAGGATGGGAAGTATCTATGTGTTTTTAAAACTGCATATATGAAATACATGAAAGTGTTCTCTTTACATACATTTTAAAGTTTAAAAAATGATATATGACAAACCATTGAAGATTACTTCCAATAACTAAGGGTAAAAATTCTATATGTAAAAGCAATTAAACAGGAAAAAGAAAAAAATGAAATAAAAATACTCCAAAATTTAATAACAAAAAGGAAAAATATTTGAAAAATTAAAAATCTATATGTACTTTTGTTAAGGAAATGTCTTGCTTTTAGAGATTTTAAAGGATTGCTTCATATTGAAATTAAAACTGTGACAATATGTAAATAAAAAGCAGGTAGGAAAAATTTTAAAAATATAAACAAAAATTTGTGGTTTGTAAGTAAAGCTATGGGATATAAGAGATATGTTTTGATTAGTAAGAATAGTTATCCTAAAAGTCAGTAAAAATTTATTAAAAGTTTGTAGAAGAAATCTTTTGTGATATTAGGTTGAGATTAAAAGAAAATTATATGTTTCTAAAATGTAAGGTTTAATATCAAAAGTACACTGACATAAAACTAAAACCTGTCCTCCTAAGTTAAATCAGCAAACTTTTCTTAAAATATCGTCCATAAGTGCTTTTAAAAAGTCTAGATCTTTAATTTTTTTAAAATTTATTTGACAGGTAGAGTTATAGACAGTGAGAGAGAGACGGACAGAAAGGTCTTCCTTCCATTGGTTCACTCCCCAAATGGCTGCTATGGCCAGCACTTTGCTGATCTGAAGCCAGGAGCCAGGTGCTTCTTCCTCGTTTCCCACATGGGTGCAGGGGCCCAAGCACTTGGGCCATCCTCCACTGCACTCCCGGGCCACAGCAGAGAGCTGGACTGGCAGAGGAGCAACCGAGAGTAGAACCCAACACCCATAATGGGATGCTGGCACCACAGGCAGAGGATTAACCAAGTGAGCCATGGTGCCAGCCCTAGATCTTTAATTTTAAAATGTTTGCTAACACATTATCAACCGTTTTGTAAAACATAGCTTCTCCTTCAGCAGTTTCCAGTTCATTGTGAACGCTTTCCTTCAAATTATTTTTTTTATTTTTTTTAACTTTTATTTAATGAATATAAATTTCCAAAGTACGGCTTATGGATTACAATGGCTTCCCCCCAATAACGTCCCTCCCACCCGCATCCCTTCCCTTTCCCACTCCCTCTCCCCTTCCATTCACATGAGGATTCATTTTTGATTCTCTTTATATACAGAAGATCAATTTAGCATACATTAAGTAAAGATTTCAACAGTTTGCTCCCACACAAACATAAAGTGAAAAATAATAGATGATTTTGTAAATGATGATGAAATCAGATCAGACCTATTGTCATGTTTAATCCCAGTGAGAGTCAAGTTGGGAATTGATAATTTCTTCTTCTTTTTTTTTTTTTTTTTTTTACAGAAGATTAGTTTAGTATACATTAAGTTAAAGATTTCAACATTTTGCACCCCCATAGAAACACAAAGTGAAATATACTGTTTGAGTACTCCTTATAGCATTAAGTCTCAATGTACAGCACATTAAGGACAGAGATCCTACATGAGGAGTAAGTGCACAGTGACTCCTGTTGTTGACTTCACAAATTGACACTCCTGTTTATGGCATCAGTAATCTCCCTATGCACCAGTCATGAGTTTCCAAGGCTATGGAAGGAAGCCCCTTGAGTTCTCCGACTCTTATCTTGTTTAGACAAGGTCATAGTCAAAGTGAAGATTCTCTCCTCCCTTCAGAGAAAGGTACCTCCTTCTTTGAAGACCTGTTCTTTCCACTGGGATCTCACTCACAGAGATCTTTCATTTAGGGTTTTTTTTGTTTGTTTTTCTTTTTCTTTTTCTTTTTTTTTCTTTTTTTTTTTTTTTTTTTGCCAGAGTGTCTTGGCTTTCCATGCCTGAAATACTCTCATGGGCTTTTCAGCCAGATCCGAATGCCGTTAGGGCTGATTCTGAGGCCAGAGTGCTATTTAGGACATCTGCCATTCTATGAGTCTGCTGAGTATCTCGCTTCCCATGTTGGATCACTCTCCCCTTTATTTATTCTATTGGTTAGTATTAGCAGGTACTAGACTTGTTTATGTGCTCCCTTTGACTCTTAGTCCTTTCATTATGATCAATTGTGAACTGAAATTGATCACTTGGACTAGTGAGATGGCATTGGTACATGCCACCTTGATGGGATTGAATTGGAGTCCCCTGGTATGTTTCTAACTCTACCATTTGGGGCAAGTCAGCTTGAGCATGTCCCAAATTGTACATCTCTTCCCTCTCTTATTCCCACTCTTATGTTTAACAGGGATCACATTTCAGTTAATTTTCAACACTTAAGAATAACTGTTTATTAATTACAGAATTAAACCAGTCATATTAAGTAGAACAGACAAAAAAAACTACTAAGAGGGATAATGTATTAAGTTGTTCATTAACAGTCAGGGCTATGCTGATCAAGTCACCGTTTCTCATAGTGTCCATTTCACTTCAACAGGTTTCCTTTTTGGTGTTCAGTCAGTTGTCACCGGTCAGGGAGAACATATGGTATTTGTCCCTTTGGGACTGGCTTATTTCACTCAGCATGATGTGTACCAGATTCCTCCATTTTGTTGCAAATGACTGGATTTCGTTGTTTCTTACTGTGGTATAGTATTCTAAAGAGTACATATCCCATAATTTCTTTGTCCAGTCTACCGTTGATGGGCATTTAGGTTGGTTCCAGGTCTTGGCTATTGTGAATTGTGCTGCAATAAACATTAGGGTGCAGACAGCTTTTTTGTTTGCCAATTTAAATTCCTTTGGGTAAATTCCAAGGAGTGGGATGGCTGGGTCGAACGGTAGGGTTATCTTCAGGTTTCTGAGGAATCTCCAGACTGACTTCCATAGTGGCTTGACCAGTTTGCATTCCCACCAACAGTGGGATGGGGTCCCTTTTTCCCCACAACCTCGCCAGCATCTGTTGTTGGTAGATTTCTGCATGTGAGCCATTCTAACCGGGGTGAGGTGAAACCTCATTGTGGTTTTGATTTGCATTTCCCTGATTGCTAGTGATCTTGAACATTTTTTCATGTGCCTGTTGGCCATTTGGATTTCCTCTTTTGAAAAATGTCTATTGAGGTCTTTGGCCCAACTCTTAAGTGGCTTGTTGGTTTTGTTTTTGTGGAGTTTCTTGATCTCTTTGTAGATTCTGGTTATTAACCCTTTATCTGTTGCATAGTTTGCAAATATTTTTTCCCATTCTGTCGGTTGTCTCTTCACTCTCCTGACTGTTTCTTTTGCAGTACAGAAACTTCTCAATTTGATGCAATCCCAATAGTTGATTTTGGCTTTGACTGTCTGTGCCTCCCGGGTCTTTTCCAGAAATTCTTTGCCTGTGCCAATATCTTGAAGGGTTTCTCCAATGTTCTCTAATAACTTGATGGTGTCAGGTCGTAGATTTAGGTCTTTAATCCATGTTGAGTGGATTTTTGTGTAAGGTGTAAGGTAGGGGTCTTGCTTCATGATTCTGCACATGGAAATCCAGTTTTCCCAGCACCATTTATTGAATAGACTGTCCTTGCTCCAGGGATTGGTTTTAGATCCTTGATCAAATATAAGTTGGCTGTAGATGTTTGGGTTGATTTCTGGTGTTTCAATTCTGTTCCATTGGTCTATCCATCTGTTTCTGTACCAGTACCATGCTGTTTTGATTACAACTGCCCTGTAGTATGTCCTGAAATGTGGTATTGTGATGCCTCCGGCTTTGTTTTTGTTGTACAAGATTGCTTTAGCTATTCGAGGTCTCTTGTGCTTCCATATAAATTTCAGCACCATTTTTTCCAGATCTGAGAAGAAGGTCTTCGGTATCTTGATTGGGATTGCATTGAATCTATAAATTGCTTTTGGGAGAATGGACATTTTGATGATATTGATTCTTCCAATCCATGAGCATGGAAGATTTTTCCATTTCTTGGTATCCTCTTCTATTTCTTTCTTTAAGGTTTTATAATTTTCATCGTAGAGATCTTTATTTGAAAGACAAAGCAACAGAGAGAGAAATAGAGCTCTTACATCTGCTATTTTATTCACCAAATCGCCTTAACAGTCTGTTGTGTTCTAGGCTGAAGGCAGGCACTTCATCTGGATCTCTCATATGGATTGTAGGGGCCCAAATATTCTGGCCATCTTCTGCTTCCTTCCCAAGCACATAGCAGGAACATGGATTGAAAGCAGAGCATCCAGGACTGGAACCAGCATTCTGATATTGGGTGCTGGCATTCCAGGTGGCATAAACTGCTGCTCCACAATTCTAGCCTCCTTCCCTCAACTTTCTAGGTGGCACCTGTAAGCATTTTTCTCCTCTTCCCTGGTTCTGACTCTATTATGACCAGGCACTAAAAATGCTTATCTTAAAGCCTCAGAAAGGGGCCTGTGCTGTGATACAATGAGTTAAGCTGCGAGTTCTGAAACCTATGGTAGCTTCCTGCTAATATACCCAAGTTTCAGGAGTTAACATTATTGATATATGTTTTTTTTTTTTTTTTTCACCAACAGCACTGTGCAGCTTTATTAACCATTCAAGTACAGTAGCATCTGGTAAGATGGGGACAGAATTGGGATTGAAGAGTGAACAGATAATCAGCATCTAATGGTTCGGAAGGAGCCACTACATACTCTTCACAAACATGTTTTCACAGAGCCAATACAGTACTAGCCATTAACCCAGTACACGAGTGTACTGAAGTAGGAAAGATGCAAGAAAAATAGCTACATTAGAAAGACCAACACTTTAGAAAAGGAGTCAAACACTTTCAGTTTCTCCCCTTAGCCCCTAAAACAACATCTTACGGTCGGGTCTACCTATACAGTCCTACATCAGCTGCTAGGGTATTTGTCAGGAGGGAACAAATGAAACGACACTGGCCAGTACAGTCTTTGGATATTTAGGAAGGGGAAGGGGAGAAAGTCAATTCTCAGAACTTAGTCAGCTTCAGTCTCATCAGCGGGGTCTTTGGATTCTTTGTTCTTCCGCACTTCCTCAATGTGCTTATCCTTCTCTCGCAAACGCTCCAGCTTGGCAGCCATCTGGGCCTCCCGGTTCTCTTTGTTAGCTTCCATCTTGTGGGTCAGTTTCTCTTCCGCCATTTTGCTGAAGTTGTTGTTCTCTTCTATCGCTTTCTGCAGCACTTCTTTCTCGTGCTCCCGTTTCTCGGCAAGCTGCTTCAAGACCTCGGCTTCATGGGACTTGCGTCTTTCTTCAGCAGCTTCTAATTTCTTCTGAATCTCCTCCAGGGAAAGATCCTTCTTCTTCGGAGGGGAAAGGGGGAAATCCGGGACAGATTCTTTTGACCGAGGGCTGAGAATCAGCTCAAAAGCCTGGCCCGAAGCACGCTTCTCCAGTTCTTTCACCTGAATATCAGAAGACGCCATGGTGAAGGAAGACAAGAGACTGGCAGTGTACGCTACAGAATCCGGTGGTGAGGGAAGCCCTGCTCAGTCCGAGCCGCCTGGCCACACTCTCGATATATGTTTTTAAAAGCACTGAAGTTTCAAATTAAGTGCTTTGACATTGGGATTTCCAGCTGGAAGCATAGAGCTCCTCAAACAATGTAGTTGTTTCCTTGTAGAGATGATTGCTAATTAGAAACTTAATTTATATATAAGGAGTATTGCCTGGTTGTAAACTCAAGTTAACTTTAATATTACAATTCTATCGGTGCACCATGGATATAAATATTCTACAGGTTGTCTGACACTTGTAAATGTCTGCTGCAGCTGAGTTGGTTTCATCTGTCATGACTATTATCTTAATAATGAAAAAGACCTGGAGACTGTATAAGATCCTTGGAGTTGCCCCTCCCTTCACAAGTCCAGACTCCTCAAAAATTAGAAAGTTCTGTGAAAGGGAAGGGGCGAAGGTTTGGAGCAGGGTGGGTGGGACAGTATAGGGAGAAATATCACTATGCCTAAATCTGTATATATGAAATACATGAAACTTGGCTAACTTAAATGAAATAAAAATTGAATAATAAACCCATGAATAAAACATTTAAAAACACAGGATAAAACAATTAAATAGTTTTGAAAACACTAGTGTGCTTTTTAAAATACTAAGTACAATAAACTTTAAATGCATCAAAATGGAAAAATTAAAAAATTTCTAAATCTGAGTTTAATCTGATATAAATCAACTTTTCTTGTTATAGTTATATAGCAATAATAATTGTCTACAATTGCATTGTTTGTTGTATTGAAGATACAACTTGATTTGTTGTACTGTTGTTAGTCAGTTAAATATTCTTTTTCAATTTTTCCCTATCACCTATCAGAATTCTGCAAAGGAATAATTCCCAACCAGAATATGCTGGCCCAAAAAAACATAGAAGTTTTTACAGCCATTCTGTCTGTATCAAGATACTGTATATAATAAATATAACTAAGTTACCTTGTTAGCCAACCAACTGTTATTCAATCTTTAATCATGGTGATCTTAAGTCTCTTGTCATCCACAGTTCTGATTCTTCTCTAAAAACATTTACAATCCAGAAAGAATCTAACAATTATTTAGAAATAGAGGTTTCCCATAATATGAACTAACTAAATAACTCAAAAATTCTGATTAAATAAAACTGACTGCTTCATAAAATTGCTACTAGAGATCACACAAGATACAACAAGTTCGTAGTGACTCAAACTGGTATTGTTGAAAGTTTCCTTGTCTTCTACTTAAAACATTGTGGGTTCCCAAACATTGTTTTTTCTCAAGTTTTAAAGATCTACAATATCTAGACTTTATAACACTATTTTTATAAACAAAAGTAAAAACATTTACCTTTCCTTCTACTAAATTCCCCCAATATTCAAAAACATTTTCATGAAAAAATTGACATATTCTTGCAACTGCTACTGTAGATCAAATAGGAATAAAAACTTAGCACATAGACACTCAAACTGGTCAAATTGTTGGATTCTGTGTTTTTGACAATGTTTTTGGTTATTCCTACTGAAAAGTTTGTCTCAAGGCTTAAAGATTTTCCTGTGATTTCTAGTCTTTGTAACACTCTGGTGGACCATGATTTTATGTTAAAAGCTAAAACATCTATCTTTCCTTCCTCCTAAATTCCATCAAACTTTAGAAACTGCTTATGGGAATTTTTGGTTTCCATGACAATGTAATTATTTTTAAAACTTTGTTAAAAAACCAATTTCTGTTCTTCACTGAATATAACTTAAAAAATTTGATATGTAAAACTATACACAGAACACTTGACTTCCAGGAATCCCCACCTTTCAGTTAGTAACTAAAATGATTACTTCTTAATAACTCTTAAACTTAAAAAGGTTTGGTAAAATAGCATTAAAAATATAAATATTCTTGGTTAGGCTTCCTAATTTAAAACCTTGTATAAATCTGAGATTAAAATGAGAGAAATCCACTTTCTTTACGACCTTGGACAATCAATTTTAATATGACTGCAGTTAGATTGGTTATGGGTTTTAGGTACAAACTTGATCTGTACTGTTGATGATTTGTTATGTGTTCTTCCTTTGGACCTTCATGCCCATAGCCTATGTGCTTTGTTCAAGAGTCCAGTTGACCACAATGGACTTGATAATCAAACAGCACTTAGCATTTAGACATTTTACCCAGAAATAATATAATGAAATTCAGTGAGAGTTGGGATGTGTTATATATCATATCTTACACTTTCTTGTTGTAACTTGCATTGTTTTAATAGCCTTGAATGTACTGCTCCATACCTCATGTGTATTCCCAGCTTACACTTGAATCTCTCTGGAAGAGGAGGCACCTCTAGATTGTATGCCAGTGATACTTGAAGTGGCAGAGTGTTGAGATGAACTTGGGAAGAAATTCCCATACCTTTATGCCCTTGTGCCCTTATCTGTGGGCCTTAATGGCAACCCATGTCCTGGTAACCAACAGGCCCAGCTGCTTGACTAGCTGCCCAGAACTCTGTTACATAAGGGCTTCATTTCATGTCACTATTTTCTGTTAACCCACATAAGCACCTGGTGGACAGGGGTAGGCGAAGCTGTTATCAAACTCTACTGGGCCTTAGACAGAATTACATACAATAGAAATAAATAAACCTACTTGTTAACCACTAACCTGTGTTGCAAATTCTCATTAGTGTGATTTAAAATCTTTTGTCACCCTCAGCCCTGGTTTCTCACTACATTTGCAATCCAAAAAGACTTTAACAAATATTTGTAAACACAAATTTTTGACAAAGGAAACTAACTAAAAATTTAAAAAATCTGATGGAAAAAACTGACAGATTCATGAAGCTTCTACTATAGATCAAACATGAAAGAAAAGTAACCACATAGAGACTGAAACTTGTCAGTTGTAGTTTTCTGTGTCTGTTAACTGACAGCATTGTTGGTTCTCTCCTTGATGATTTGTCTCAAGTCTTAAGGATTTTCCTGTGAGCTGTAGAGTTTATAACACTCTGTTGGACTATGTTTTTTTTTTTTAATAAACAAAGCCAAAATATTTACCTTTACTTCCTAGTAATTTCCTCAAAAATTCAGAAGCTGCTTGTGGGAATTTTTGGATTCATTCCAATGTAATCAGTTTCAAACTCCTTTAAAAGAATCTGTTCTGTTCATAAGAAAATAGAAGTTAAAGTATGGATATGTGAAAATATTCACAGAAAACTGACTTCAAGGGCTCTCAGCCTTTCAGTGAATCTATAAAATGATTGCTTGTTAATAGCTGTTAAACTTCAAAAGGTTTGGTTCTATAGCTTTAACAAAAATCTAAGGCTTCCTTGTTTAGTGCTCCTAAGTTAAAACATTTTCTAAATCTGAGATTAAAATGATAGAATAAACTTTTCTTACTGACCTTTGATAGTCAAGTATAATATGACTACAGTTAGATTGCTTATGTGGTTTTTCAGGTACAAAGTTGATTTGCTATAATGTTGATGAATTGTTATGTGTTCTTCCTTTCAAGCTTCATGTCTGTCACATGTCACCTTTGTACAAAAAGTCCAATTACCAGATAATGCTGGCTTGATATTTTGACATAATTGCTCTTGCTTACACAACTGATGATGTTATTTTAGGAATAGGCTACAAACAAACTTAGTCTGGGGACTCCCTTCATAAACATCTATGCTACTGTATATGTGGCTGAAGCAATTTATAACACTGATTCTTGGTTTTTAACCACGTCTACCCCATCATGGGACCACATCAGAGCAATGACCAGGAATAAGTCCATTGTGACCAGAAGAGTAAAAAGAACATGGCTAAGGATGACAGATCAGCAGTGTTTATTTCTTTGGTTTTTGTGGGTATTTTTGGTTTGAAAAAAACAAATGATAAACCAACAAAAACAATAACAGATGACAAGGGCATGAGCATATGAAAGTTTAAGATTTTCTGAAACAACCTTAAATTAAGATATACAAATCCAAAATGTTCTTGATAAAGTGTTCTTATGTATGATTATCTGATAGTAACTATGACAAAGACTCTGCCAGGACTACAACCTCTAGGTAGGACTCCCTTTTGAGAAGATGAACTTGGGAAGGTGAAGTTTTCATGTTTCCATTTCTTTGTGTCCTTTCCCCTTTATCTGTGTGCCTCTATGGCCACTAATGTTCTGGTAACTAACTGGCCCACCTTCTTGGCTCACTGCTCAAAACCAAGTTACACAGTTGCATGGCTCTGGGCCACTATTGTCAATAAACCCATATAAATAACTTGGGGGCATGGCTAGGTGTGCCTGTTTGTGGATGTGGACATATGTGGATGTGTAGCTATGTTTGGATTTCTGTGTGTGTGTCTGAATGTTTGTGTGTGGCCACCTGCTGCCATGGACACAAATGCAGATATCTCCAGTATTGTGTAGATCTAGTTTCTGTTCTTTGTATATTTCTCATTTCCACTGTGAGTAAGCGACAAGTGGTTGGGACCTCCTGAGCCCTGTGTTCAAGAGATGCACAGCTGAAGCAAAATAAATGTTGTAGCTGCTAGAGCTTGATAAAGGACCTCAGGACTTGGAGAGACAGCAATGCAGCCACAGTTGACAAGAGTCAGAGAAGACAGCTCAGCCAGTGGCAGTTTGGGACAAAAGAAATTGCCATCCATACCTTCGAACGGAAGTGTCATCACACTCCAGGTTACACAGAGTGCCAAAAGATCACCCAAGAGGTGTAATAATTGTGTCATCTAGTTGTTGGGACAATTCAAACCCTTCAGTGTTATTTGAGGTTTGATTACACCTGATGATGAGGTTGAGATTTGAATGGATCCTGTTCTTGAGGCTAAACCCAAAACAAAGAATGTTTCTAAGTGTGCACTCGGGCTGGGCCCTGATTGATCTAACACTAATTGTTTTGATTTGGTAATAAGTGGTTTAATATAATTTCCAATATTTGTAACAATACATTGGCTCCATTCTGTAAACAATGGGATGATAGCCTGTGATTTGCCATGGGAGATAGAAGATAGACTACTGGACTTTTGCCCACATCAGATGTTTA